GAACTGGGGTTGTTAGTCACCATATGTGGGTGCTGGGAATTGAACTTGGGTCTTCTGTAAGAGCAGTCTGTGCTCTTAACCACTGAACTGTCTCTCTAGCTCCTAAGCTTCAATTTTTTTGACTTTTTCGTTTTTAAAATATTTTATTTATTATTTTTATTTTATGTGTATGAGTGTATTGCCTGCATGTATGCGAGTGCACCATGTTGTGCAATGCCGAGGAGGCTGTTATAGGTCGGAGTTCGCAAAAAATCACCAGCACCACTTCAAGAAAAGTAGCAAGGTAAATGTTTATTATTTCCACTGGCCGGGCTGTCTATCTCGAGAGTATATACAGCTGCGATCATTGTTGGGTCAGAGTTTTTATAGGATTACAGAAACATCATTCAAACAGGACATTTGTGAACCAATCAGGTTTGTACAACATAGCAGAACTTTGAATCTATTAATCAACAACCAATCATTATACGGACAAGTGATACAGTCATATAACTTGGCAATCAACTTTGTAATTTTAAAATTAGTCAACTTCCTAGCCATAACTAGTAAGAAAGCTGAAATCAGCAGTTACCAGGTGGTCAGACAGTAACAGGGTAACAAGGTGGTCTTATGCTCTGTGTCAAGGTGACCCAGAATAGCAAGTGGATTACAGAAGCGAAAACAAGCTGGTTGGCCAGATGTAAAATGTCTGGAATTAGCACATTCCACGGTTCATGGCTAGGACAATTTCCCAAAACTCAGGGTTGCCCTCCTTTTCCTTCTGGTGTGGAGCAAAGTTGCTGCCAAAATGGCTCTAAACAAAATGGAAACTTTGCTGAGCCAGTTCATATAATAAGCAATGGACTCATTCTGTCAGTGAGCCCTGCACCCTTCACTTAGTGAGAAATTCTCCGGGTCTCTTTAAGGGGCGAGGCTAAGGGGCGGAAAGGGGATACTGGGGGCGGGTCTCCGAGACCTACCGGAAGGAAGTCGGGCTTGCAAGTCAGCTTCCGGCTATGTTGCTACCGCCGCTGTGGCGCTGGGCCGCCTGGCATGCGGGTAACTCGGGGTGGCGCTGCTGCTGTGCCCCCGCCTCTGGGCTTGCGGCACAGGCTCGGTGTGAGCCGCGGGACCGCCCAGGGCTGGGGAGAAGTGCCCCGAAACGCCGGAGGGACCCGTATCTGGTGGGCCCAAGTACGGCCCGTTTCCTGGTGGGATTTTTTTTAGGCCAGGGTCTGGGGGACAGGGAACGGGACCTGCTTTTTATCAGCTGGCAGTGGATGCAGGTGCCTGGGTAACCTGAGAGGCGGGGTCAGGCTCCCCTCCCTCTCCCTCCTGATCCAGTGAGCTTCCTTACCTTCAGAAAAGGGAACCACCGTTAAGGCCGTACGCCCTGCGGTTCTTTGGAACTCCAGAAGACTCGTCAGGCGTCCTAGAGGGCCGGCAACCTGGATTCTAGTCCCAAACCTAATATCACCAGCTGTCCTTTGAAGTCTGAGTTCAAGTCGCCCTGTATGTCCACTGTGAAGATCTCAAGCACACATTGCGTGTGAAAAGAGAAAGAATTGATCAAGTGAAAGAAAGTTAGAGGCACATTGGGCCTGGGTGTGTCCCAGGAGTCACTGCACAGTGGCACAAACGGGACCTGCCCAAGGAGGGTCTCAAGAATGGGAAACATTTATGGCCAAGGACTAAGCGTGAAAGTGAATGTGTGGTCATTTAGCAAATTAGCACAGAGAAGAGTAACTTACAAGTTTAAAAACGAATTTCCTTTCTTTTGTAGACAAAGATAGAGAAAATGATAAAGAGAAAAAATCAGTGGTAAGTTCTTTTGTGCGCATTTTCCAGTGTAGGATAATTTATTTTTGAGGAGGAGAGTGAAAGAATATGTGCACATAGCAACATATGTATCTAAAGAGATCATTTTCCCTATGCCTCGCCCCCCCTTCCCTGTTACCAGTTTTTTGTACCTCTCCTGTCTGGGAAAATAGATGCATACAGGAAGTACTGTTGTTCTTTAGATAGGCATGGAACTACTGCTAAGGCTTGAGGGGTGATTGTAAAGGAATTTAAAAATGTCTTGGTATGAGGAAGGTTTGTTTCACTTTGGCTTGGACAGCCCAGTTGTGAGGGAAGCCCTCTTACTTCGCTGTTGGTGGGGACCCCATCAGTGAATTCAGGAGGGTCTACAGAATGGGTTCAGTCGGGATGATTTTGACATGTTGGCTTTGGAATAGTTTAAAGGTCAGAGGAGGTACAGGTTGGACATGCTCATATGGATGCTGGGTTCTTTAGCTGGCTGGGGATAGAGGCAATGTTTTAGTTACCATCAGCCCAGGGGCTCAACTTCTTTTCTTTCTTTGGGGCAGCAGTCTCGCTGTGTAGCAGGTTGGCTTTGAATTTGTCATCCTCCTGTCTCAACCCCCTGAATGCTAGGATTACAGGTATCTGGCCAAGTCCTCATTTCCTTAAGGAAGCTGAAAGTCTGTAGCTTCAGTAGCTGGGAAAGGGGTGGCTTGGCTGGGCTCTGCAGAGTGGAAGTTGTGATCCTGGGGTGGTCAGGAAGGTGAGGAGGGCCTGGGAAGGTGTGGTATCAAGGGAGAGGGCTGGTCAAAATGCTTGGGAAGTTAATTGAAATTAGAAGACGTGAGGTTTGGCAGTGGGCACCACCAAAAGTGAGGGGGGAATTAATGGGTTAATTGTTGAGTGTTAGGCCCAGCCTGGTGCTCTCTGGATATGGTCTGATGCCTCCAGGTGGATGCACAGTAAATCAGTAGGAAGTGGGTGGTGGTAGAGCCTGCTTTCAGGTTCAGGGCCACAGGTAGCCATTT